CGTTGGCCTCCTGTGCTACTCGCGCCACATATGGTATCCCAACCGGTGCGCGGTGCATCTGTATAAATTCTAATTTAAAACTTGAGGTTCTCATATGCGATGAAGTCGAGTAAATATTGTCTGTCCACCAACTCCAATCACTTAGAATTATATCTGGAAGATAAGTTGTTGTTTCATAGTTACCGTCATGTTTTTAGAAGAATTAGAAATTTCTGAATTTCCAGTAATTTTGTATATAACCAACCGTATTTAGTGACTGGGCAAGCTGAGATGAGGACACCAATCAATTGACCGTACTCCCGTATGGTACATCGGGGTAACCTCATTATTTTTTAAAGTAAGTGATAAATTTTAACGTTTTTGTAAAGGCAAACTTATACTTAAATTTTATGAGTCAAAATTGAATCTTAGAAATTTACAAACTTGACATGGTTGTAACACAGACTTCCCGTAATTAACGAAGAAGTCTGAACATTGCAATAAGTTAATGGTTGCATTAACATTATTGATGCATCGTCATAATCAGCTGTTATACAACAAATATCATCTAAATATACCAATAACTTAAATCCTTGTTGCCCAAATGTGTTACAACTTCTTTCATGATTTTGGTAAACACTTTCGATGCTGTGGATAAGCCGTATGTCAGAGCAATAAATTCATAGGTTTCAATTTCATTCGAACCACAAGGTAAATATTGAAATCTGTGGTACTTTCGGTCTGCTTCGCAGATAGATGTCAGTGAATACACCTCTTTCAATGCGAGGTATCAATTTTGAGGCAATTCGATAGTCCTCCATTTTAAAATGAGTTTTTCTTACAAATTTGTTAAAGAACGTTATGTTCAATATGAAACGTCTACTACCGTTGCGTTTTGGGGCTAAAAAAGTACTAGAAATGTATTGATGTTTTCTAGAACAGCACTTTGTCATCGCTCCCAAGTCAATTAAGTTTTTAATTGTGATATGCAATTTTTTCTATTGCTGTCTGGCGATAAACTAATGCCGGGTATTACAGACTGGTGTTGGTACCTGTTTACGTAATGGTATTGCTGGCGAAGCTGCATATTGGTTTTGCAGGTGGCTGTCGTCTAAAACAATTAACGATCTTCTTTAGAATTGAATTAGATAGGTAATTGAGTTTTAACTACTGCGTGTTTCGTTAACACTTATTAATTGCACGTATGTGGGATTTAAATTGAAATAACTCGCAGTTGATTTCTTATCGCAGTTAACTCATGGTTAACCTCAACTTAATTTTATTCTAAATGTACTTTTCTGAGAATAATATAATTATTAAAATCGGCTCGTAGTCGATTTCATTATCGCGGTTAACTCACGGTTAACCCTGACGTAAATTTATTTAAAATTAACTTTACTTATTAGCATGTAGGAACTAATATTGTTCAAATTAAAATCGATTCACAGTCGATTTCGTTATCGTGGTTAACTCGCAGTTAACCCCGACGTAATTTTATTTAAAAAAATCTTTACTTATTACCACGTAGGAATTAATATTGTTCAAATTAAAATCGACTCACAGTCCATTTCATTATCGTGTTTAACTCGCGGTTAACTTCGAGGCAGTTTTATTATAAATCATGTAAAATGCACGTATTAATATATCTGTTCGGATTTTCATCCACCCATGTTCGATTTGGTTATCGGGGATAACTCGCAGTTAACCCGATGTTTTATTAAATGTAGATTAGATTCACTTTTGCGATGTAGGAAAGCGAATATTTATTATAATTGCGGAAGTAGCAAGTAGTGCTATATGATAAAAATGAATATTTCCATTTTTTATTTTCGTTATTTATTAGCGTAACAAAAAATCTTACCTTGATCAATGTCCGACTCGTCTGATGATATTATGATCCTATGACGCCAACGACGTTTGGCATCTGTATTTTCCAAGTATTTCAGTTTACTTTTATAATATTCGATTTTTTCTGAGTTTCTTCGCTTTGACATTTTAACGGAGCTGTGGAGGTGTGCTTGTTGCCACGCACGAAAAAGAAATGAGGATAGAAAATGGTGGTTGATGCCTGATAGGGAGTGTCAACGTCAAAACATTTTTTAGTTTTCTCTAAAATCCGTGCGGTGTTGCCTAGCAAGTTAAGGAAAGTACCTGGTTAAATATTATATCGAGAATGAAGCCACGAAATATAATATTAGCTAAGATTCCTTTTGTAAAGCACATTCCGTAAACAATAAACAGAATTGTGTTACATTACGTTTGAAGTGACAAGTGTCTCCGACATATATATATATTTCCTGAGGAAGAGAGTCATAAAGAGGGAGATGGGGGCGAGAAATGGTGCCATATACACATTGACTTACAATTATATGGACGTCGGGTCCGCGCTAAAAAGTGTCCGAACTTATAGGGCGATAAAATCGTATACAGCGCGTCATTCACGCTTTAGTCTTCGTTTGTTGGACTGACAGCGAAGCAAGCAAAATTATACAGTACTGCGATGACATTACAATTTAAATTCCACGTTTTAGTTTTTTCATATTCCTTTACATGTCACTACGTTTAAATAGACTTGGGACATTTTTTTCTTTGGTTTTTGTATTAGACCCGTCGTCCATTTATTTGTAAGTCAATGCATATACATTAATTTGTGACAAATCAAACATTTCAGAACCTTTGTGACACTTTTGTGTATTCCTTGTATGACGGATCACCACTTACTAAAAATAAATTCAAGCTGAGCGTGAGTGTGTGTGCGCGCTTGGTACCGTGGAATGGTTTCCACTATATCTTTTCTCTATTTATTAATTTTTTCACTCATCATGTGTCCTGTCCAACGTTACTTATATTGTGTTATTACTTCTGGGACTTTTTTAGTCTTCGACTTGCCCGTGACTGTAGTTAGTTTCACTTTATTTTTCCTTCCTTATTTTATCTTTGTATTTGATTTGTAGCAACAATAATGGACGCCTTACAAGATAAAAAGCGAGAAATATTAGGTCCACCTATGAGCAAAAGGCGCAGGTCTTCAGTCGTCATTCGTTCGCCTTCATCCACCAGCATCGGGATACAAGGGGTACAAGATAAAGGACTGGCACCGTCACCGCCTGCAAAGTCTGTATCATCTACAACTCACATTAATGCGCCTGCAACTTCAACTACTGGGAAAAGTAATAAAGGTCAGTAGATTTAACCACTTACCTTGTCAAGTAAGTAATTTAAAAAAAATGCTTCTTTATTTTTTTAATTGTTTTTTTTTTTCATCTTAATTAATTTTGCCACCCTGCCTCCGCATGAATTAACAACACAAGCGCAACTACAGTCACAGATACCACCACCAAAAATATACCCGACACGTGTTTCGCGTCTCTGTGAGGCATCCCCAGGGGATGTTGATTGTTCGATCTTCGGCCGAAGAAAAAAAAATCAAGTTCTTAAGATGTCACGATTGGAAAATAAATCCAGGATTTTCGGATATAAATCAATTCACGCATCTAGATCAGCTGTGATATCGGTTTGTTTAAAGAAAAAGAAATATACCCGATTTAGATCCGAAATATTCCATTTTCCAATTCTGATTTTATATAGTGTTCTCTGTAATAACTTGGAACTTTTTTATATAAAAATGTAAGTGCATATTTGACCTCCATCTGTCCTGATGCAAAATGACGATAAGGTCGACGATGGAGCATGCACATCTGAATAATGCCTGTTCAAACTCGCCTTGAAAAGGTTCAAGTTATAACGTTCAGGGAACAAGTCTGCATCCAGGGAATTCCACTCCATAGCCGTTCGTCATATAAACGTGGAAGCGTAACGCGTCATGCGAATCTTAGGAATATCCGCAACATAGGGGTGCAACTCAAGCCTACGTCTAGACCCCCGGTGATGGAAAGGGGAAGGCGGAATTAAATCGTGTAATTCCATCGCACACTCTCCGTGATATACCCTGTAAAATACCTATAAGCAGGCAACTTTGCAGCGGTGTTCAAGGCTCTGTAGCTTCGCCTCTACTACTTCCGAGACTACTTGACACGCTTGTCAATTGAATCCAATGTGGCCAGTTGGTATGTGGCAGAGTCATCCCAAAGGTGGCAGCAGTACTCCATACACGACCGGACTTGTGCTTGGTACAGCCGAAGCAACTGTCCCGATCTAAAGTAACACCTCACCGTGGAAACGATGTCAAGCTTCCTTGCTGCATTTTTGGTTATGGATTCAATGTATCGAATTAGATGACAGGTCTATTCCAAGTAGGTGGAGACAATCAGCTATAGGTATGGATGTATCACGAAAAGTCGGAGTCAACTCAGGGACTCCGTTTTGTGGAAAATAAATACGCCTGCGTTTTGGTTGCGTTAAATTTGGCAAGATTGGCATCGCCCCAATCGGAGACTGCCTTGAAAGTCCAAACGGCTTACCATGGGCTCTTGACAAGACCAGACCTGGAACCCCGTTTTATATATTCTGGTGCACATAGCTGCAAACACCAATAAAGAATTCGTTATACGAATTCTGAATTCTTTACTGGTGTTTTCTGGTTAATTCCAATTACTGTATCTTTTAGTATTGTATTTAATTAATAATTTAACTTTAAACGCATGCTACATCAAATAGGGTTGGCAAATTAGGACATAAATCCGGTTCCACGGACTTTCCGGAAACCGATTTCAATAAAACTAGGTAAATAGATGTAATTCCAATAAAAAGCCGATTTTGCAGTCGGTTTTTTTAATAAAAGTTATTTTCATTGCACTTGCTCCTAAAAAGTGTCATAACATGCAGGCAAAGGCGACCGTAATGTCCTATATTATGCACACTGGCTTTTTCATTACGTTATCGCCCCATGGATTTTTTATGTCAAGATTAGGCAAACATTTTTTATGCTCGAAAAGTCTGAACGTATATGTCGCATGAACTTGAAGGATAAAAAAAAACTAAACATTTGCAATTTAACTGTTTTTTTGCTTAATTTATTTTGTGAATTCAAATTCTGCAGTATTTTTAAAATTTGGAAATTATTTATTTATTTTGTATCTAATACATTGTGACTGCATGTACCTTTAATGACGGGTTTACTTCTTTCTCTTTCACTTGCGTATTTCTCTTGCTTGCGTGAGTCGCTTCGCGCGTACGCAAAGATATGTCGCGTACGCGCAGGCAGGACTGTTCACGAGTCGCTCGCTTGCGCCTGCCGCTTGCTTTTGTGTTGCGTCTGTTTGATATCTGGCATGTTCGATATTTCCACGCAAGCAACAGGGAACGTTTGCGGAGGACAGCACCACTGGCCAATCGCAGAGCAGCAGCAGCGTCCACGCGTCCAATACAACCAAAACAAATGTAAGGTGTCGCGCATGCGCGCAAGTCTCTCCGCAACTCAAAGCCAAAGACTCGCGAACGCCTTTGCGCGGAAGGCAGATTTCCACGTCGTGTGGGTGCACACCAACGCAAGCAAGCTCAAAACGCAAGTGAAAAACTGAACCCGGCATTATAACATTTTAGTTCACGTTGTATTATCTATGGAAGAATAGCTGGCAATCTGTTTAAAAAAAACTCGCCATTTGCAAAATTCGTAAATGTTGTGTTGTGAAGCGATATTTATTCGGTAAAAACTACAGACCTCGAGTCATTAAAGCCCTCAACGTTCGGCTTCGGGTTTCTAACAAACCTTCGTTAATAATTATTTACCGTCATTATTATTCAATATACTATTTTTTCAAATTATGTTTACAACCTGTAGGTACTACTGAAATTATAATGTGACAACCAACGCTGTGAGCGACGTGTTGCCTACACGCACCTAAAAATCGCATGACGCACCTAAAAACCGAGAGTTACGATATTTGTCTTATACTATCACTGTTATTTAAACTCAAACAACATTGACTTACAATTATATGGACGTCGGGTCCGCGCTAAAAAGTGTCCGAACTTATAGGGCGTTAAAATCGTACTTATACAGAGCGTCATTCACGCTTTAGTCTTCGTTTGTTCGACTGACAGCGAAGCAAGCAAAATTAGACAGTACTGCGATGACATTACAATTTAAATTCAACGTTTTAGCATTTTCATATTCCTATACATGTCACTACGTCTAAATACTTGAGACATTTTTTTCGTGGTTTTTGTATTAGACCCGTCGTCCATTTATTTGTAAGTCAATGTCAAACAATCTTTATTTCTCTAACATGACCAAAAATGTTTGCATTACTTACAAAAAACGAACACGGAATAGTTATTTGTTATGCAAGGCTGCAAAGTTGTTATTTGACGCGAGTGCTTTTATTGAAACCTGAGCAAGCGCAGGAAGCTAAGATTGAACCACGAGCGAAGCGAAAAAATAGATTCTTGAGCGTAGCGAGACACACAATTTTTCACCTCACTATAGCGAGGAAAATGGTAGATGAAAGAAAAACAGTTGAACTATAACAAATCAATTTTAATAAACAAAATTAGCTACTACTGTCAATTTAATGTCCACAATAATAAGAATAAAATATACATACAAAAATAATGTACGACAAATCGCGTAGTTGAACGTGTCATTATGTTTTTTTACATCGAAAGAAAAAGTTAGGTGCACCACAGTCCATCGTAAAGTTCGAATTTCAAAAACCTTTTCCACGCTAGCATGGAAAAACGCTTTTTCGCGCAGATTTATAATGAAAAAGAAAACCTTTCCGAGCTAGTACCTCACTAGCTCATCTAAAAATTTGTTATTTAAGGATCGTGCGACTTCTTTCCGGCCAAGGGCTGCAAAGTAAGCTTGAAAATCCATTACTGTCCTCTTCTGTGAACTTTTAAATCTACCTACGAATAATGAACTATGTAAACAGGCAAAAGAAAAACTCATACAGCCAAATGCCAATTGTTCGTAATTGCGTGAATAAAAAAAATGTGCTTTTTTTTAAAAAAAAGGCGGTAAAATAAACTATAGTGCTTTGGTATTCTTTCCTGTTTTTTTGACCTTTTTTATATGTCCGTCACGAAAATAAGTTCTACTGAGAAGATCGATAATGAATATATAGTGATGGATACACATTCAACCACATCATCACAAGTTCAGCAGACTACTACTAAATGTGCTAGGAAAAACTATATCAAATATTACTTTTAATTTTAATTAACATTTTTAAAATTTTTCTATTATACCTCTTTAGTCTTCTATTATTTCCTAACATTGTTTGAGAAAAACACTGTATATGCCTCGGCGGGAATGGAGATTGCTTGACTCGTATTAATAAACGGCCTCGCTGGCGCTCGGCCTTGTAACTCATGCTCATTCAGCAATCCCTTCATTCCCGGCCTCTGCAATAATGTGCTATTTCTTAAGTAAGCAAATTACACTTGAAATCGGCATATTGATTAAATTCTACTGCTCATTCGTAAAGCAAATTTACATGAGAAGAATGTTCAAGAAATTCGAGTCTTTTTAACCGGCTTCAAAAAAGGAGGAAGTTCTCAATTCGACTGTATGTTCTTTTTTTTGTATGTGTGCTACGCGATAACTCCGGTATAAACCGATTTTCATGATTCTTTTTTTGTTGGAAAGGGGGTACTTACTTCCATAGTGGTCCCGTTTCATTTTGAAGAAAATCATCCACCTCGAAGGGTGGCTTTTTTATAAATAGCGCCTAACTTTAATTTAGGAGCAATTACTTTAATGGTTGATTATGCTATTTCTCCAATTCAAGGCGTTTTTCTCTCGATATACTTTGAGTAGTGAGAACCGATTTTTATTATCTCCATTGTCAAGTCCCGCATAGTGGCGAACTAGAGGATATTTCAATAAAACTTAGCAAATAGACGTAATTCCACGTACTTTTGAGGTCGGTTTTTTTTAGTACTCTGTACTGAGATAATGACTTAACAAAGTGTAATCTAAAACCGAAAGGAGACACGAAGTGTCGATACCACGTTATAAAACTTATTAGAATGATACTAAACTTATCTCTTTGTAAATATTATAGTATGAAACTGTGGACCCCTATCAGCTTCATCACTCTCGTTATACATTTTCTAGGAAACGTCCTTACTTTTCCTGATTCCTGAAAGAGGCGTCAAGGCGATGACGTCGAGTTGCGGACACCAGCCCGTTATACCAAGTACAAAGTACTATAATATTGGTGTCTAAATTACTTAAATCTCCTATTGTAAGCTATTTCTCGCTCTTTGACAA